TTCTGAAGAAGGGCCTAGGCCCGAAGCGTCAGCCTTCCTGCTCCTCTGATGCTGCTTGGCCTGCTGTGTTCATCCAGTTCTGCACCTTGTATATCTCAGATTCTCCAGCATCTGCAGTTCCTACCATCTCTGAAACAAGTTACAATTGTTCTCTTTTTATCATTGCACTAAATTTACTTTCCATTTTGATTTGTGATTGCACCCTGGGCACGGCTTCCCCCCTACCCCCCGAACCTGAAAATTAGCATTTAGTTCCACGCCAGTGTAGTCAGCGATCATATGTAATTAGATCGAGGGGCCTGCATTAAAAGCTAACATATGTTATCAGCAGGCAGAACACCGTCGCAAAGGAGGATGAAGACTTTGGTGCTACTTGTTGCTGCCGTTATGAGGTAGTTCTCATGTGTCCATCAAAAGCTCCGACTCTTTCTTATGCCGTATGGGCTAAAATTTCGACGACAATGCCTGAACCCTTTCATTTCAAAGCAGCTATCAGTGTGGCGGCTCGGCAAGTTTTGTGTTCTCTTTCTTCTGGTTTTAAACCCACTACAGCCAAAGACGTGTTAATACCTTTTGATAGGGATTGAATTCATTATCTCCAATAACACAATTGTGCTGGGCCAACGAAAAGAGCAAAGCAATACCCTTCAGACCAGAAGAGAGCAAAAAAAGGTGGGAGAAGTGGAGAGAAGATCTGTAAAGAAATCTGTTTGGAGTGCAGCTGCTCTTTATCAGAGGTTCATACAGTTTTAAAAGTGCATCCCTAAAATATGAAAGATCGATCTAACTGTCTTTAGAGGTCCAGAGAAGAAAAATAATCACTAGAAAATAAAACACAATTGCAGACCTCAGAGGAAGCAACGATTGAGATGTCATTCAGTTGTATGTGTCGCTGGCACCGAACTGACAAGTTGTTATCAACCAGCATTAAACTGAGTTAGCAGGATACTCGTGTCATTTTGCAAACACCACGTTTGAGAGCAAATCAGCACAATGTGATAACAACCAGCACTATACAAGCGAATTTATTCGTTTCGAGGGTGTCACATTCACCCCCAATCTTCTAATGTTGGGATGTATAATGTCGGACAAATTATAACCCAGCCCTGATCCAAAGGTATCCATTCAAATGAGAAACGTAGCTTCTACACTCAATAAAACATTTTGTTTAAAAACGAGGATTGCCATGTCTCTCAATGTACAGCTATCTACGTATTTCCAGTTAAGAACTGGGTTTCTATTTGACACGCTGGATAATAGGACAAACGTGCACTTTTAAAGTAAATACATAGCACTGCATTTGAGATATTGGCCGCACAGAAGACATTACTTGTACAATAATTGACAGTGATATCGTTAATATGTTTTGGACTTTTTCTGGAGTTTGGAGGGGGGTGGTGGTGGGAAGAAGCAGGTGCAGTTTGCAGCGGGACTGTATGAAACACAACAGGCGTAGAAGATTTACTGTCGTTATAGCAACCGGATCAGCCACGCTTTCTCAGATCGCATTCATCTTTTCTGTCCTCGTAACACGTTTTTAATTAAACCGTATAAAAAGTGGTTTTGTAGTCTTGTCGACATCTTTTCGGTTTCAAAATGGTTAATCAGGCTTCATCGCCTTTTGTTGGATGAGCAAGCGTGTAACATAATCTGTTGCATTTCCAACAACTGAGGCGTTATCACTTCATCAATGCTCCCCATATAGTTATTATTCTATAATAATTTACTGCTAGTGTCATAATTGACAGAGCTTTACATTTAGTCGATCCGTAAATTTTAAAGCGAAAGATTGTCCACCCCCACCCCCCTTCAAATGGCCAGTTTTCTTTTGATGTTGGTCTGAACAGCTGAGACAATGTATTTATTTGACAGCACAGGATTATCGACAACAGAAAACGACTTAGGATAGAAAACATCCAGTGCGGACTCTTTGGTATTAGAGCAAGGACACCCAGGTTGTGCCATCTCCAGGGTTACGGTTGGAGGTAGATTCTACAAAATCTAATGGTGTTCTTTATTGGAGGGCGGGACTCTCAGCAGCTAGCCCCTATCAGAACAAAAACTTACACGGTCACATCGAAGGAGGGATCCAATAAGAACATTTGCCACAAATTACACTCTGCGGTAAACTGGAAACTCAGATTGAAATAAATAGTACCTCAAATGTACATATGAGGAAGATCATTTCAAAGTAACCGCAGCAGTAGTGACTATTCCAAACCATATTGAGTGGCTTTTGAATGGCTTTTTAAATACATAATTTCTTTCAAGTTGAAAGCAAATGACGATATTTTTCGAACTATTAACTATTTACGATTGAGATCATAGCATCCTGGATAGTTAGTTTTCAGAACCCATTGATATACAACTTGCTTGAGCAACTGTTTTCCAAAACATCAAATGGAATTTAAATTCTATTCGCCTGAGTAAATTTTAGGAGTCAATTGAACAGGGTGCGATGATACACGGTTAGCTAATTCCTAATAAGTTGGGCATGTTGTTCATCCTCAGTTTGGCCGAATAGTGATATGTAAATGATAACATAAATGAAATCGCACGGGCGATACACTAATTCCAGAAACTTCTCAAATCTGCTTTATGAAGAACTGCCCGTTATTTTCTTCTTTAATGGGGTTTTCAAATATTACACTTGCGAATAAAAACATCTCAAAAGTCAATTTGGCAAAACTTAAAGAAAGATCTTAACTTAGTCTTTACAAGGTCCGGAGCCTGTTTTTTTTTCTTTATTTTTAAGTTTTTATTGAACACACTGGATTTCTGTCCAGACGCATTGATAGATCTGGTCCAGCTCACTCAGCAGGGTTGAGTTCTGCCAGCAGTCATGGGCTAGTTACCAAATGCTTAGATTAAAGGAAGGGTCAGCTTTTTGTATAATAGAATCTTAAGTTTCTATCGTTTAAGAATAATCCACAGAAATTTTGCAGGTTACGAATACTCAGAAAAATGCCAAACATGAAATTTCAGCGGGATAATTCACATCATCTGCTCAAAGAACGCAGACTAGAATCACCAGTTTGTCATATATCTGGCCCTGTCTTTACAAACTTCCCTTAAAATTTCTCTGAAGGGTTACGAAATGCCATCTTATCAATGGGTTTACCGAACTGAATTTTATTAAATGTTATTTGATTTAACCTCACAATTAACTTCCGTCCTTGGTCGAATCTGGTCATGTTTTTTTTTAGAATAATCTACTGATCTTCAAATAATAGTGCAAGCTATGATTCATGTTTTAACAACCATTCCGCCATATTCTTTAAAAAGCTCTCTCTCTCTCTACATATACAATCTATATATGGTATCCATGACCATCTTTCGTACTTTTTTTTACTCGTTAGTCATATTCCGTATCCTCAGCTTCAGTATGCATAGCCTTACACATAACGATTTTGGGCACTTGTCTCCTCAAACATTATCATACATATCTATAGCGATAATTTTACCCTGCTTTCGTGGTATTCATTATGTTTCCACTTAAAGAATCTCGCAACTACCGTTGATCGCAACTTCATCACCCCATTCCCCTTCAGAATACTTTAAACAGTTTTTTTCTGGTACACTGATGAAATCTTCCAGTCTTCTTTGTCTTGCTTCCCTTGCTCCACAACCTTGCAAAAACCCAGAGATAAAATGCGTTAGGGGCGGGTATGTAAAGCGCCGGTGTTGTAGTCAGGTAGATATGTTAATACATCCGAACCATTAATTAATACATAAAGAGGAAAGTTTTATCTTATAGACAGTGCAATCATTGTCGCCCAAGTTTAAAAGGAGAGAATAACTCAGAAACTCAGGACGACCGGAAACTTTCTTCCCTCCTCATTCCTAAATCTTTCTGCTCGGGAGATTTTAATCATATTCATTAAACTCCAAACTAAAAAGTCCATTGGACAAAAATTATCTCGTCTGATTAGTGACATTACAGTAATAATTCCTAAATCAACTGGAATGATTTTAAATTCGGAAATCAGATTTCGACATTGAGTTGACAAGAAACAATTTTCATTTTCAAGCACTATTCAGCATTTATGCGTTAAATTTTCTCCATAATTGCGCCATCATTAAAGATTCATTTACCGACTCAATACTTATGACAAACATGCGTTGATGCTGAATCATTTATTCGGCAGCATACCTACATGATTTTTTTGTGTGTGGAGTTAATTAAGGAGAATAATTCTCTGTGCCGTTTCCTTAATCACTTGTGCGTCTATTGGAACATTAATTGCGTTGTAAAGCAAAAGGCAAAGTTAAAATCTTTCAGATAACAAATACTGTAACCTCAAGTGATAAGAACTAAGCCCATGGAAACGTGAATGTTCATTTACTCGCCTTCTCATCTCCAGCTGAGTCAGTAAATCTCCAGAAAAAGAATCATTCCATATTTCTTGATACACCCACCCCTTTTCGATTAGAATCGTAGCAACGAATCTGTATTGGAATCATATTAAACACAAACACATCTCTGCACTTTTTAACATTTCACATTTGGTATTTCTCTCTTTTGCTTTCTTTGTAATCTTTTTATTAGCATTGTAATTCGAGGTACTGACAATTTAAAAAGTTCGTGTCTTCACATAATTAGAATACATAGAGTGCAGGCCGATTTATAGGTGGTACAAATACAAATTTGAATACATTGTATGCGTCTGAATATGCTAGCACACCTTCCTTATACTTCTATTTTAGCTGTCAGAACTGCAATCAACGTTTTAGTGTACTTTGTAAGTATTAAAATAATCTCATTTAGGGATAGGAGATTTTTTTCATGCATGTTAATCTGTTGTTTGGCACAAATTAAACATTAACACATTTTGATATTGCTACAAAAGCACCAATTGTCAACCCTAGCTTTGTGTCTGAACTGATATCAAGTGCTCACATTTTCTGGTGTGCCTTTTATAGAATTATCACATCACTTTCAAATACATTCACCATATATTTCACCATACAACTTTACACTTGTCAATTTATTCTTTAATTTTGGATATCTTTCATTCCTCAATATTTATAACGTCATTTAAAATAGACACAGAAGACTGAACTGTGTTGAAAAGCCCACAATTCACCTTCATTCCCCAAACACCACAAAAGTCAAAAATGTTCTCAACATTAGTACATTTACACAATTTTTAATCTCACTCCAGTGATTAAGGCATGAATTCTGAACAAATTTAAAATATGCCACTGATAGACTGTAATAAACACCAAAAGGTTAAATATGAAACTAAAACAAGTATCAATGCACATCATGGTAAAATATTCCAGGCATTGAACAACATCACACTACAATTACACTTAAAAATCAAAAATACAACTTTGTTTTTGTCCGATAGGTGAGAATTTTTCTAACTGGCAAGTGAAAAATGCTATGAATTTAAATTGAATATAAGGGAGGTAAGTTAGTAAAAACTTAAATTATCTTAAGAAATACAAATAGTTCCATATTTTTTATGCATTGGTATAAATCTCAGAAATTCCTAGTTAAAAATTGGTGCATTTTAGAATGTTTTCTGCATGTCTACAAATTTAGTCAACATGTAATAAGACCAAGTTTCCAGGTTCCAAAAAAATTAGATTAGGATGTTTTTGGAATGTTATTTCAGTGTGGCGGTTACAACAATTGTTTGCTAAAACCAGGCTTTTTTATTTGTAGAAAGATGAATAGAATGGCCTGGTCACCAGATGTGACTACATCGTCAGACACTGCTACTCAATCAAGTCACCGTCCTGATGTTGCCTGCTCCAACCTTTTTCCTCAGGACGTCTACCAGCCGTTCCAACCTGCAAAAAGAAAAGTAGACCTAGTATTAGGAATTCATAGTCTGAAAGAGGCAGTGTTTGCACTTTGGAAAGGCTTACACGGTGGTCATTAGAAAACAATGATGCACTGTGTAACACAGACACAGCTACAGGATACAGACTCATCACTACATTTTATTTTCAAGATTTTTATCATTCTCTGAAGAGGAGATGAACGAATAAGTTTCCATGTCTTTATAATACACATGGTACATTTTCTATAGCTTTCTTAAAAGAAACTTGATTCAAGAAGCATCCAGTTAAAAATACCTCTCCTCAAAATTGTACACAAAAGAAAACTGTTAGTGAGTTGTGCAAACATTTGGATTTAATAGTTCAGCTGCTGAATACTTTTTTTTTGTTCACAATAAATTCAACTTATAAAGCATTATAATCTTTTAGGCAACAGACATGACAAGACAAACTGATTTTATTGTACTCAAGTAGTTGAAATCTGGTTGTAATATCACTGGAAATCTAATTTCTAAATCAGATATTGGAAGATTTCTGATACAGAACATATATACAGTTAAATATTTTTGTTTACATTACACACGTGCCAGCACTTAATTCAAATGCCAAACTGTAGCAGAGATTGCACTGAAAGTTGCATGCCTAAAGCTATCACAGACTATGCTTTATAGCATTTTATAGACACTCTCTGACCTATATGTTCATTTACAGTTTGCCTAAAATTCCTTAGATGGAAGTCTGTACATTGCTCCATATTTATAATGATTTATAAGCAACACCTATGCATACACACTGTTGAAAAGCACCATCTCTAATATCAGTAACAACATCTTGTGGTTGAATACAACAAGTCTGTCACAAAGCTGACTAATACAGGATTGGTGATGCAATATGACTTCTCCATGAATAGGAAAGGCTAATATTTAATGAGATATGTAACATTCAAAAAATGAGTCACCTAATTTTCCAGAATTTTCAAAACACAAAAATTGAAATGACTGCTTGAAAATGATTTGAGCATTAATTTATTTCAACTTTGGCCTGCAAACAAGGGAAAGTATTACTTTTTCCCAAATTGAAATATGCTCTGCCCTTTCCCCAATGGTCCAAAAATAAACAATTTCTCTAGATTTAGGTTTTGGGAAGACCAGCTGTAGCTTTAAAGTTCACATTAGTAATCATGAAAAGAGCTCTGTCCTCAGTGCCAAGTATGTCCCTTCCAGCAATTTATGATTCCCTTCAATGAAGCAACTTCCTGCACCATTGTGCTAAATTCCCTATCCCTCATGGTTTCTCTTACCAGCTACAACACATAAAGGGAACTTGGTTTCAGCCACATTTTTCTAACAATGGTGTTATAGAGTGTCAGATTCTCCTTTACCACATGATCTGTCATGGATTTCAAGGCTGAAGGGTCAGTCACATTGACATGAAATTATTTCACATGCATTCGTATTCTCATGCTGTACTGCTTAGTCTTATTGTGACTAGGCATGCCAGTAGTTAACAACAAGTGTTTACATCCTTCCCAAGGAACACATATCAAGTTTCCTATTACTACAAAACAGTATAAAATTAATCTCAAATAACTAATTGGGTTACAAGTTAATTATATTAACTCCTATTTTCTTAAAAGATATCCAAAAGAAAACTAATGTGAAATAATAAACTCTTGGAATAAATTGTTTACATTTCTTTTTCAGTATTTTTATTTTAAAGTACAAAAATCTTATTTGAAAGAGTCATAGCAACTATGTATATTACTGTTCTTAAATCTATGATTTTAGCATTAAATAATTTTTGTTTTTTTCAGTGTATATTTTGACATCACAATTCTAACGTCAATGCTTTCTAGCGTTATAATGAGTTTTTGCTTAAGGTAAATGGCTTACTACTCCATGCCATTATTCAGTCTCCACGTAAGCCTCCTTCCATCTTTCCTCACCTAAATCTACAGTTTTTATCATCTATTCCTTTCTCCCTCAAATGTTTGTCAAGCTTCCTCCTAAATACAACTACATTTACTTCAGCCACACCTGTGGTAATGAGTTCAAAATGCTTGGTGAAAAAAAAGACTTCATTTGATCTCCCCTATTAGATTTGTTGGTGACTACCTTACTGATGACCTCGAGGCATGCTCTTCCCCATGACAGGAACCATTCTCTTTGTATTCACTCTATCAAACCTTTCATAATTTTAAACATCTCTACTAGTCACTCCTTAGCATTTTTTTGAGAAGAGACTCAGCCTACCAATCGGTTCATACAGATTTAGCATCATTTATTTAAATCTTCTCTGCATGCTCTCCATCTATATCCTTCCATAATATGGTGACCAGAACGACATGCTATAAATGTGGCCTAAGGTTCAATACAGATTTAGCATAACTTTAATTTTTAAATAAAAACAAATTGCCTTCCTAACCTGTGGTACGACTTGTAGGGATGATCTAATTGTACTCTGAGCTCCTTTGCTCTTTTCCTCCATCTAGACTTGCACTTTCCAAGTAATGTTACCTCCTTATTCTTCCTTTCAAAATGTACTACCTCAGATTTAGCCGCATGGAACTTCATTTGTCAATTATTTGCACATCTAAAGTGTTGCTGTCCTCCTCAATGTAGATTCTCAAACCCACCCCCTAATTTAGTGTCATCAGCAAATTAGGAAAATGTATTTTTGATTCCAAACTTCAAATCGTTAATGTAAATTGTGACCAGCAGTGTCCCAGCACCATCTTGCGAAGACACCATTTCCCATCTTCTGCCATTCTGAATAGCTATCCTTTAGCTTCCACTTTCTGCCTTTTAATCGCATCTTCCATTTGCCCCGATTCCATTGTCTATTAAGTGTTATCAATTAAAGGCCTTCTGAAAATTGAAATACATTGCAATTATTTCATCACCACTGTCTATTCTCTCTGTTATCTCCTCAAAAAATTCAAAAAAGTTGGTCTAGCCTGATTGTTCCTTTTGAAACACATGCTGACTATTCGTTATTTTATTCCTTGGTCCTGGGTGTTCTTCTAATCACTTCATTAGTAAGAAAACTCGGTTATTTTTCCTACCACTATCTTTTTATCTGATCTGATACACTTGTGAAGTTTAAAAGATGTTGTCTTTTATATGAGATATTATACTGATGTCACAGCTGATAGTTCAATTATGTGTTAAAGATACCGTAAGACTTATCCACAAAAGCAGAAGGCTGTCCCATATGCGTAACAGCATTCCATTTTCATTAGTTTGAAACTTAACAGGAATAAGTTCTGATTTGCAAATTGTAGATATTTTAAATCAACCTACTCAGACATGTTCTTACACAGTCTGGAGCAGGTGGGCCCTCAACCCAGGCTTTCTGCCTCAGAGGGAGCAACACTACCAATGCACCACAAGTAGCCCCAAAAAGATGATATTATTGATCCCTGGAGCAGGTGGGACATGATTAATAGCATATTCCATTCATTGCTACTTGTGGAATTATGCTGCACTCAAGTTGGCTGCCATATTTACAGATATAGTGACAATGAAACATCTTCAAAAAGTAATTCGTATGAATTGGTTTACTGTGTTAGTTGGAAATATTTCTACAGGTGGAGGTTATTTTATAAAATTAAGTGTCTTACACTAAGAATTCAATTGTTTCAAACACAATGCATAAAATTGGGACAGACATCAGAATTTCAGAAATCATCTGATATTAATCCTCATATTTCCTAATTTAGTGGTTTGCAGTTTAACTATTGTATTGAAATGGCCAGCCTTTTTACAGTGATTGACTGGCTTTCCCAGTCCTTCAGAAGGTTAGCATCTGAAGGAGGGAAGGCCAACTAGAGGGGAAGCATGATGTATTTACAATATTGCTCGTAGGTCAGAATGCTCTCATCACTACGACAACTGACATTTGAACGTATTCTTAAAGAAAAACCTCCAGGATTGACCGCCACAGTACATGCCAAACACTGGAGCTGAAAATCAGATTTACCTGCTTTGCCAGCCTGTGCCAGAGTCCTCTCTCTCACTACAAGTCAAGCCCACCAATCTGGCTGACACTTGGATGGAGAATTCATCAATGACAAAATAGATACACACAATGTGATATTGAAGCCCAGACTTTCACCTGAAATTCTGTTACCTTGTCAATGAATTTTCTTACCCATTATTTGGATCTTGTAGAGTTACGCCGCATTGACATTCTAAGTGCTAAATGCTGAATTTTCTCAAAAATTTGGCTAAAGGCCAATTTTAGGGAGTTTCATGGAGGGTTTTTCTCCATGAGCTCTATCAGGTTTTCTCATGCAATTTTACAGTGCTCACTTTATTAACTATGCAGTATCATTCCACAGCATCATTTCTATGTTATCTTACACTCAACTACAGTGGAAATGTTCGGCATTGCTTGGACTTTGTGCCATTAGCACCACATTTAAAGCCCGGCTATGCACCAATTCAAACACTGCAAGTCAGTGCCCTTCACAATTCCACAGGAGATACCTGGCAGAGGGAAACTGGCATTATAGCTCATGTGCAGAGACCTGGAAGTCTTGATGGATGATGTAGTGGAAAGGAGAGCCATCTCTTTCCTCAAGATTGCCAGAAGAAACCACTGCAACAAACTCTGCCAGCCTGGTGTGAAGGTGCCACCTGGACCATGATGCTTTGATGGTGGGAGAAATGCCAGTGCTGCAAAACGAAGATTGATACCCTTGGGATAGATTAACTGTCAAGATATTCTTTCTGCTACCTGACAACTCACTCTAACTCTGTTACTGTATCTACCTTCCACCAAGGCGGATGGTCTCCCACTCTCACTATTCCATGCGGCAACTCCCTCAAAGTCTCTCCCCTTCATCAAACTACTAACCGTTCCTGCTCTTTGCATTTTCTATTTACTCACTCGGGACACCTCACCACATTTACCCTACCTGCTCCAACACTGCCAGCTCTCCCAGCTACTTTTGCACCACTCAATCCTTGCCCTTTTTTCATTCCAGTAGAGAATGGCTCATAGTAGGGGCAGAGAGAGCCAAGGCAGGTTTTGGGGTGGCTAATAATCCTCAGTTCACACACTATGAGCAGAAAATGATTGCATTGGTGGCAGGAGAAAAAAAAATGCTCATGTGGTGTTGATGCTGATACATCCATATCTCAGCAGCCAAGAATGATTCACTGTGGTCTCCATCACCACTGTAAATGTCTTCTTAACATGTTCTTAACATAGAAGTAGAAGCTTCTACTTCCATAGTGCAACTTATTTCCTCTTGTCTTCTGCAAGAACAAGTGGCTCGCAGACAATCTCTGCCCTGAAGAGACCAGCTGCACATTTCATCCTCCACCTCTGAGGATGAAGGCTCAGATCCCTCAGAGGGTGTACTGGCCTTCTCCATGACCTAAGCTATAACAGCTCTATGCATTAGAGTTGGGAGCACATGCTGATAAGCCCATCACTAGCAAATCTCCTCAGCTGGCTGCAGAAGGAATGCACTCAGAAAGCTGCTGGAGACCAGGCATCTGCTCAGCCCCAGGCAGAAGAGGACCCTTAGGTGATTGCTGGTGGAGAGCTAGATCCAGCAGAACTTCATGGCTGCTGGAAATGCACACAGATCTGCACTCCATCACTATGTCCATTGATGATCAGCACCAATGGCAAAGAGACAGAGGGACGAGGTACCTGACCTTAATCCATATGTCCCTTCATCACAAGGAGTTGGAGTGGAGGCACACAGCATACAGGACTGCATACAGAATCACCCCTCTCACCCCGGTCTCCTCTTAGGATACCCAAGAAGTGCCTGGCTACACTACTTCCACTCTGCCTATGACTCTTAACACTGTGCAATTTTAACTTGAGGATGGTAAACCTACAATAGGGCAGGACAGGCACAGAATTCTGGACCGTCCAGTCACAAACGCCTCTGAGGTCATCTGCTCAGATTTGAAGGCCAGAACACTCCCTCCATCGATTTGCAGGCACCAAATTTAGTGCGTACTGAAACGAAAAAGAAAACCATATCAAGGCATGCAGATGGCTTGGTTGACACCTCAATATAAACAGAATTTCAAATTGGTAAATATGTTTTTACTGTGCAACATCACCTGTCTGATTTTATAGCCTCAGCTACAAATATGAAGCTAGGGAGGCTACCCTACCTTAGTATAAGATGATGTCAGGACTCTATCATGGTTTTTGTTGGTGGTAGGGGTGTGTGCTACTGTTTCTCTAATATTCATTGTAGCATAACATTTTGTCGTGTTTAAATGTGCAAGCATCAGATGTTGCAAAGCCTTCCAAAAGTTTTTAAGGCTTGTTTTTTATGTTGTGCAAAAAGAAGTTAAAAAAAGAGAATTAACCAAAAACGCTAAATTTGCATTTGGGAATAAGTAGAGACTTCTTGCCTTTCCGGCATTAACATATTTAGTCAATGAATAATATTTTCATCTAACTCAGTTCCAGTGGAAGTAGGCATCAAATAATCCTTTCTGTATTGCTGTGCTTGACACTTCTGCACTCCATCATGGTGAAGGTGATGTTCTTCCTGATCAACATCTGTATCCTCTTCCCGGGAAGAATGTTTCACTTTCATAGTTCTCATTATGTATCACATTGCTTTCTTTACTTGCTCCAGTTGTCCAGAGCACTGCATGCAAGAATTATGTGGTGCACTTTGTTGAAAACTGTAAGGAATCCTCAGAGTTGCAAAGGCATGCGCACCTCATCTTGAGCAGGAGTTGCTTAGCCTCAGTCAGGGGTTTGCTTCACAGTGTCAATAGCCCTATGTGGAGAGGATTGCCCTTGTCTCCCGCCAGCCACCCTTGTAAGGCATACAGTCCTTGAAATAAAACAAGAACCTGAAAGTTATCAAGACATAATCATTATGGAACCTTCAAGGATACCTGGTGCTGATTTCAAAGATGTATTAGTAATGATCACAGGTGAGCTGGACATTGGGCTAACTGAACCTTTTCACGTTAATGAAGATAGTTGAATTATGATGTGGCATGCTCAATGCTGTATGCACAGTCTGTAGTGCTCTGCATCTGGAATGCTCAGGAGATGACGTGGATGTGTGGCTGTGTCCTGGAACATCATTTGGTAGGGGCACTGTACTTCGTTCATCTGGAGGTCATTCCATTGAAGACAAAAGACTGTGAGCCACCTGCACTGACTTGGCTTCCTGACGGGACATACTGTTGCAAACATTGCATTTATTGGAACTGACCGCAGATTCTGGGCTTCGAGATGCTTACATGTGTTCTTATTAATTTATGTGTCCCTTCTATAGGTACAGAGGTGATACGAGTTGCTGAACTTGGATCCATTGGTGATGGTTCCAGTGAGCTTATGTGGAGAACGTCAGAAATAAAACAGGTTGTCAGCAATGTGATCAGTCAACAGTTTGCAGCTCATGGAAGTGACAAGTTTACGAAGTCCTCCATACATTGGAATAAGGAGGCCAACAAGGTATTGCTACATGGGCCTTTAACATAGTAGACTATATTCGGATGCAATGCTGCATAAGCCTTGTTGAAAAGATGTAGTAAGAGATTGTAAGTAGTCAGATCAATTCTTTTCTCGCCACCTTTTTCTCCCCTCTACTGACCACATAATTTGAGAATAGCAGCATTACATATAAGATTATGTTTTGAGATACTTAAAGTTCAATGTGTAAGGAAGGCAGATCGAGGCCATTGTGCAGCTCTGAGATCTTGGAATGGGTCTGTGAATTGTGGACCACAGATTAAACTTTACGGTTATTCGTAATTACATCTGCTTCACAGAGATGAGTAGGATTAATCTGCAGCGATCAATGCCATGGTCAAGATTGCTAGTGCTTAGAATCTGTCATCAAAATAGTTGGTCACTGACTGAGGTACACATGCAGAACTCTGCGATTAAAGATGTCTTTAACCTGAACCATACAAATGCCTGACTAATGCCTCTTTAAGGGCCTCAAATTTCTCACAAGTAGAGCCGCTACCTTAGAAGAAAAGAAATTAATCTGCCTATTCTGAGTGTGCTGGAAGCCATTTTATATTTTCATTGTCTATTTATAATTTGAACGTAGATGGAATGCACTTCTGATAATGAGATACAGCCTCACATGCTAGGGGACTGTCTGCAAACTTTTGAGTTTCTTTCTGTCTTGATCTCCCTGTGAACCCCATCAGGTTTGAGCTCCACATGTTTCCATCCATTCCTTTTATTTAACCCTTCATCTCCCACCTTACCCCAAGCCCCAGGTATACAGCTTAGTTATGTAAAACTTCATCATATACTGCAATTGAAGCCAGGTCACTGCCGATGTCACTCCCTTCCTCCTTTGCTCTCTTGTCTCCCACCTTTACGTGTAGTGTTACCCCCTTTCACAGTTATTGCTCCTCTGCAGCCCACATGCTGCATTCAAATCCACACTTAATTATCCCAAGGTCCACATCCCATCAGTAGCACCTGATTAACGCCCCCCTGACCTTCAGTGCATAGACCCTTAAGACTGTCTATGGCCCATTCCCTGATCAACTTGGAATGACAGCTCTTATTGACGATCTCAACTGCTCTTTTTTGCAGTTCTAAAACTGAGTTAAAGCTGAGCTCTGGACTGATTTGACTGGTTGGACTTGACTTGCAGGACTGAGCGCAGCTCACACATTAGACTAAATGAGGCTGATCCTTTGACCTTGTCACCCTGACTGACCATGTCCAAGCTCCTGGACTGAGATCTAACTGTCTTAACCGACTGTCCTGGTCCCCCTGACTGATCTTCCATTGACTAGGTTAAGGACTACTATCCTTATTGTTTGAGCTATGGTCATCAGGTTGAAGCACATTCAGTGTGTTTGCTGCATTAGCTGTTGGCAGATGTTGGAAATCTGAAACAAAAACAGAAATTGTTGGAGAAATTCATAAGGTCTGGCAACATCTGTGGAGAGAAAGCAGAGTTTTGAGTCCAGTGATCCATCTTCAAAACTGATAGCTGCTAGGAAAAGGTGGTATATATGCTGAAGACAGGAGTGTGTGTCTATGTGTGCTGTGTTTGTGTGTTGTGTGTGATGTGTGTGTGTGTTATGTGTGGTATGTATGGTGTGTGTGTCTGTGAGTATGTGTGTGCTGTGTGCGTGGTGTGTGTGCGTGCGCGTGAACAAGTGGATAGGTGGAGATGGAGCCTAGAGAGAAAGAAAGATAGTCAGGCAGGCAAAGGAATAGATAATGGTAAGCCAGAGAGAAAGACCATAAGGGGACCATAAGTAGGTGAAAACCGGTTGGCTGTGCTGAAAACAATCTGTGTCAATGACTGGTTTGAGGTGTGGGGTCAGGTAAAGGACATAGAGGAAGGTGTTCAGGTTTTTAAGATTATTGAACTTGACATTGAGTCCTGAAGGTTGTAGGGTCCCTAAGCAGAAAATGAGATGCGCCGAATGTCACTGGAGCACTGGAACAAGCCTGAGATGAAAATGTGGTGGTGTGTTGAAGTGGCAGGCAACTTAAAACTCAGGATTAATTTTGTGGACAGATGTTGGTGCTCCACAAAGCAGTCGCCCAGTCTGCATTTCATGTCCTCTATATATAGAGACCAGGTTGTGTCTGCATTAAAAGCCAAAGCTGTGAGCATCCAGGTAAGTGCAAAGTGAGCGAGCACTGACATCCCAAGATACAACTTGTTCTGATGTATAAAATGGATGTGTGTCAGTGTGCACAAATTGGTTTGGCAGCTGCATTGGAATGTAGGTTTCGATGAACTCCAAACTGCCATACTGAAATGGTGAACTGTATTATAAGTGAGTCTAAGATGTCCTATGATGTGTTGAGTATGGTGCTTTGTTGATGCCAACCTCCATAGAATGTGTTTTCAGGTATTGGGGAATGCTCGCCAGGCAACTGCCTGGAGAAGATGACAGTGAGCTGAAGCCACCAGGTAGGCACTCTGACTTTTGTGTCATGAATTGGAGGCATCCAATTTTTCTCCACTGTCTGGGAAAATAGTAAATTGCATAAAATGAGGAGATTAGCCATCAATGAGACAGTAATGCATGCAAATAGCCACCTCGGTGCTGACTAGTGAAATTTGCATCTAGCTGTTGAAAGCTAATGTGGGAAATCAGACTTTGTTTTAACTCTCAACTTGCACTTTTTTTTCATTCTTACCATATTATCCCAACTTTCTGACCATTGCTCATGTTATTCAAGAGTTGGGAAAATTCTGCCCTACTTTACGTTATGATCTGTTTGATGTTATGCTATTTGTCATTGTGTGCAGAGTTCTCAGCCTTCAGTAAAATTGAGGTTTTATGTTGGCATAACATTGTGTCAAAGTGGGCAGTTTGCTATGGACTTAATGTAACGGAGTAATACCGTACCAGTCAGTATTTGAATATCAAGACTTGGAAAAATAGCTCCACCATCCACTAACTAAAAAAGATACAACCATCCATTTTAAACGAAGGCACTTTCGTTTTGGTGGCATAGCTCCAGGAGAACAGCACCTGTGATCATCGAGTTTCAGTCTCCAACTTTTAATGTTAACAACTGGATGACAAGTATAAAAAGATGTTCATTTTCCATATCTTGTACCTTTGCTTTCTGGGCTTATGAAAAGATGAGCCTTGGGTGTCATTGGTTGTGCGGATTTAATATTTTTGTTAGTGTGCACATCGCAGCTGGAATATCAGTCAGTTACTGATGTCACTCTAATGTGATACAAGTATTTTTAGTGATGCTAGTGGATTACAAGTATTCGCTATTAATTTTTGATTAGATTTTAATATATTCTAAAATTACAAATATGTTAAGACTGCTAGACTTCATAAGATGGTTATGTTTTAATCTTTTAAAATCCAAGGTTAAACAGAATGTCCTGATATTAAGGTTGGAGTGAACTTGTAAATTAACTTGTCCTGGTGATAGGCCCATGTGACCTAGTTGCCCTGGGGACAGGGGTTTAGGTCAAGCCCCATTGATAGTCAGGTGCAAGCTTTGATATGTGAACACAAAAG